TGCCTTTAGGGCCGTGCAATGAAACAGACTGTGTGGTAGTTGACATAGGAGGAGCAGAGTGGAGTTTATAACGATGGCCACAAGACGGTGAAGAAAATGCTTTGGGATTTTTAAGCAGCAGATGAGGTGACTCAGAAGAATGTTAGACAATAGCACAAAAGCAACTTTAGCAAAGTCTTTCATTCAGTGGGCACTACATAGTTAGTCCATGCTCTGCATCCATTCTTTCACAGTCTGTCCCTTCATCGACTTGGGCCTACAATGACTTTTCTGAGAGACAAGAGGGATCAACGCAACAGCACGCACACACCTGAAATAAAGAATGAATTTCTAATTTTCAGATTTAAACTCTGACCTAACCAAAGAAGTGACTACCATAGAGGTTAACTATTAATAACATAAATGATGCTTACAAATGTGCAGATCTTATAATAACAAGGTAAAACAGCTTAAAAAGTAGATGGTAGAACTGTAGTCCAGGGACGCTAATAGAAGTGACCCATAACATTACATCATCTCCACTTCCAACAAAAATCAGGTAAAAGAAGGAAGGAGACTGGCAACCCAATGCACAGAACTATATATAACAGGCATACTATTTATTGGTTGGTTATAAACCACTGGAAATAAATCTTTTTACATACTGACTGTTGGTTTATGTCACAGAGGCACAGCATGGAACAACAGACAACCAGACTGTAAGATAAATTCATTTGAATAACTGGACTTTTGTAAACCATTAGACAGACATTGGAGAAACCAAATTTAAAGCTGTTTGTGAGCCATGTTGCCTATCAAGGTGGAAATTCAGGAGAGATACATAATGACAAATAAATGCTTTTCTGTGTGTGTGTGACACAGTGATCCGATGCATTGGGAATGTGATCTTGTGAATCTCTCAGGTGAGCAAGCCTGACATGATTGGGCATAAAAGTCAGTAACTGAAGAGGTACCAAATGTGCTCCATGTGTCAGTTGTGACCTAAGGAACTGAAGGCTTTCACCCTCCCTTGAAGTAATGAAGCTGACACAGCAGGGGGCTGCAAATTCCACTGCAGATCAGGGTCTTGATGGTGACATATTGAAGAGTGGACTCCCACTTGAGTTACAGAGCAGGAACTACTGTTTCCTATGGCTACTGAATATCCCACAAACTAACCTCCTCAGCTTGGCATTATTAATTACTTTAAAGCTCTTAGAGGTCTCATTTTATAGTAGATCACATCAGAAATAAGACTAATAAGGATCAGGTACAAACTCATATTTGCTGGACATATCATTGCATATCATCCCAAAGTTTCTGGCACTACATAATGCTGGAGTAGATTCTTCAATATTACATTTTAAACTAAGGGAGAACGTTGGCTTCTAAATTTTACAACTATAGTATTGCAGCTAAACACAAGTGCAAATGGCAGCCTTATCAACTGCATGAGTAATCTTAAGGAAAACTTACTGTTGAACATACAGAACATTTTACATGCATTTGTCCACAAAGTACAAACTCTTCCCAACCTCAGAACTTGATATGGGTTAGGACATTCCTCTCCCTTGGGCTGGTGATAAAGCTCCAACTGAAATGAGAAAGATTCTTCATACCTGGTAAATATGCAAGTTTCCAAAGATATTGCAACTGGCAGATCAAACCTGAATCCAAAAAGCATTAGTTTCTAGCAGGATATAAGATCAATAAGCAAAAATAAATGGTATTTATGCAATTGCACAGCAGAATTTAAATGTAAAAGGAATACCATTTACAGTAATGTCAAGTGTATAAAATCCATAAATATGAATATGACTGAAAACTACAGCATATTTCACAGAGAACATAGTGCAGGCCTAATAACTGGAAAGATACTGTTTGTTCATGTGTTGAACAAACAATATTGTTGAGATGTTCATTTCCCCTAATTTGATCTATGAATTCAATGCAATCCAACTCAAAATTTCAGCATGCATCATTGGTAGAAAATGGTCAGCTGATTCTAAAATTAGCATGAACTGGCATAACCAAAATGCCTGTATAACGAAGAGCAAAATTGGAGGGCTAGCTCCACCTGATTTAAAGAACAATCATAGAGTTGTAATGACCACAACAGAATGCTTTGCCATGTGATCAATTAAATGGATCAAAAGAAAATAGAGTCCAAATACAAACCAATACATATATTGAGAACAGATTTTTGACAATCTTGAAAGAGCAATGTATTTAAAACCGCATAATATTTCAACAAATGATTGAGGATTTTCTTTTTAAGCAATGGATATGATGTATTTGTAACCACATACAAAATAAAGAAGTAAAAAAAATTGAATTCATATGTCATATAATATATAAAAATTAGGGGTTACAAGAGGCTAGGAAGGAGATGGGGAGAAGGAAGAAAATATATTAGTTAATGCATATAAAATATAGCTAAATCTAAGGAATAAGTTCTAGTATTTGATAGTATATTAGGGAGACTATAATTCAGAATAACTTATTGCATATTTTAAAACAACTAGAATAATTGGAATATTCCTAACATAAAGATAAAATTTTGAGGTGACTGATATCCTACTTATACTGATTTAATCATTACAAATTGTATACGTTTATCAAAATATCACATGTATCCCTAAAATGTGTAGAACTATTATACATCAATTAAAATAATGAAAAGTACATCTTAGACAAATTAACAATGATTCCAATTCCATCAAGTATCTTTTCTGAACACAATGGTATGAAACTAAAAATTAACTACATAAGGAAAACTGGAAAATTCAAAAATACATGGAAATTAAACAACATGCCTCTGAACAACTGATTGATCAAAGAACAAATCAAAAGGGAAATTTGAAAATATATGGAGGCAAACAAAAGTGAAAACAAACAGCAAAAACAGCTCTAAGAGTCAAGATTATAACCATAAATGCATACATTAAAAAAGAAGAAAGACTTCAAATATACATTACACCTCAAGAAACCAGGAAAAAAAAAACCAACAAAATAAATCCAAAGTTCACCGAAGAAAGGAAACAAAAATCAATGCAGAAGTCAATCAACTGAAGAATAGAAATACTACAGAAAAATAAAACTGAGTTGTTGTTGTTGTTGTTGTTTTCCTTTTCGTTTTTCTTTTGCTTTCTCTTTCTCTTTCTTATTTTAGGAGAGACAACGTCTTACTATTCTTCCCAGGCTGATTGGGAACAACTGGCCTCCAGTGATCCAACATAGGCCTCTCACGCACAGGTTGTTTTTTGGGAAAAAGTAAAATTAACAAATACTTGGCTAAAATAACTAAGACAAAAATAGAGAAAACTCAAATAAGTAACATCCGAAATGAAAGTGGAGGCATTACAACAGAAGCCTCACAAGTAAAAAGGATCATAAGAATCTATTATTAACAGCTCTATACCGTCAAACTGGATAACCTAGAGTAAATGGATAAATTCTTAGAAACATACAACCTACCAGGATTGAATCAAGAAGAAACCGAAAGCCTGAACGACCAATAACAAGCAAAAGGACTGAAGAACCTCCCAACAGAGAGAAGCTCAGGACCAGATGGCCTCACAGCTGAACTCTTCCAAATATTTAAAAAAGAACTGGGCACGGTGGCTCACGCTTGTAATCCCAGCACTTCCAAGGCCAAGGCGTAGCGATTACCTGAGGTCAGGAGTTGGAGACCACCCTGGCCAACATGGTGAAACCCTGTCTCTACTAAAAAAAATGCAAAAATTAACCGGGGGTGGTGGTGCGTCCGTGTAATTCCAGGTACTTGGGAGGCTGAGGCAGGAGAATCGCGTTGCAGTGAGCTGAGATGGCGCCACTGCACTCCGGCCTGGGCAACAGAGCAAGACTCCGTCTGCGGGTGGGGGTGGGGGGTGGGGGGGGGGTGTGGCGGAGGAGGAAGGAAAGAAAACGAAAACCTCTGCAAATCATAATGCATTTAGTCCACTTTCTGTGAGTGTGATTTCCTCTTCCTGTGGAAATAGCAATAATTTTTCTGAGGGGTGCTGCCCGGGCCCCACTGGAGGAGCGGGTAAGATGAGGACTGTGCTCGGTGTTTTCTCCCTCCAGAACCACACACGCTGATCGGTAATACCTGTGGCCCGTAAGTGTCCGTGAGGGGACTGGTCTCTCTACAGCATTACTTATGGCTGTGGACTCCCACTATATGGCAACAAGATGTATATGTGTGGGTATGTGGCAAAACCATTATAGGCAATGGAAATTCAAAATGTTTCAGAACTCTAAAACGTTCGCCTCATGTAGTATTTGGTCTATTGCAGGGGGCCCCAAGCCCCTGGGGCTGTGGTCAGCTACCTGTCCTGGGCCTGTTAGGCACCAGGTCGCACAGCAGGATATGAGTGGCCGGCAAGGGAGCATTCCAGCCTGAGCCCTGCCTCCTGTCAGATCAGCGGTGGCATTAGATTCTCATAGAAGCACAAACCCTATTGTGAACTGTGCATGAAAGGGATCTAGGTTGTGCGGTCCTTATGAGAATTTAATTAATGCCTGATGATTGAGGTGGAACAGTTTCAACCCAAAATGATCCTTCCCTCTTTTCAGGTCCCCGACCCCTGGTCCAAGGAAACATTGTCTTTCACGAAACCAGTCCTGGGGCAAAAAAGTTTGGAGACTGCTGGTCTACAGTGTCTCAAAACCCTTTTCTATGCTTCCTTCCCAAAGCCTGGAGGCTCTGAGTCCTCCCCTGTTCTTATACTCCTGTGTGTTGGAAAAAATAGCATTTTGTATGCTCTGAAGGCTCTCCAGAACATTCTTTCTAGGCTGTAGGATGGAGATTAATAATAACAGAATAATCGGCGTGGCCTTGTTAGCCAATCCAAAGCCCTCTGGGCTGAAGTGGGAGTTTGTTTTTCACTTCAGCGACATCCAGCCTGGGTGCCTTCCATCTCAGCATCCCCAGGCACAGACAGGAAGTGACATCACCCATTTACATGATGTCTGTCTTTGTGGCCTGGGCCACTGGGTGGCTTACCTCAGAGGCGGAAATGCCAGAGATGGGTGTTCTGGGCATGATTAACAAAGGGAAAACTGAGAGCGTTCCTACTGAAGCCTCTTCTCCTTTCAGCTCCCACCCAGGTGGCCTGTCCTTACGGGCCTTGGAGTGGAGACTTGAGCCACCCCTGTCAGAGGTGGAGGCTTCACAGGCACAGCTGGAGCCGAGAACGCTGGTGCCCAATTGTCTGCGACTGCAACTAGATCAAGGGTTTGACTGTGGCTATGGCTTAGCCAGGCGGGGCGTTTCCTCCACCACCTGCAGCTTCACAGCCAACGCTGATCCTGGGAAGCAATGGCCCTTCCAAGGTAGGGAAGGAAAGGGGACCACGAAGCTCTAATCCAGATGTTGGTGGTCATGGTGCTGTGAGGGGAGGAGGCAATGGGGTCTCTTCATGCTCCCTCAGAGTCAAGTAGAAATCCACAATGTTGCAGCCCAGTGAGGTGAGCAAGAGCCTGGGGTTTAGGATCAAATCTGCTCTCAGGTCCTGGGTTTAACCCTTACTCATTATTCACCTCGGCCAAGTCATTTGTGGTGTTGGCATTTACATCTCAGTTCTGTCATCTGAGAGACCTGAAAAATAATATCTACATTCAATCATTGTTGATAACAATTATGATAATTTCCAAAGGGCTAATTCAGTTAAAATTGCTCAATAAATCTATGAATAGATGTTATCTAATTCTGTTTTCTGGTAAGTTAGCACCTAGGAAATGACTTGACATTCGTTGTTTCAACTGAGGAGGAGTAACTGTTAGGATCTCTACTTTCTAGGGACCCCCTTCCTGTGTTTTCTTAGAGAGTCTCTTTTGCCAGTTTTCTTCCTCTCTGTCAGCATCCCTTTTTTTTTTTTTTTTTTTTTTTTTGAGGCAGAGTCTCTCTCTGTCGCCCAGGCTGGAGTGCAGTGACCGGATCTCAGCTCACTGTAAGCTCCGCCTCCCGGGTTCACGCCATTCTCCTGCCTCAGCCTCCGGAGTAGCTGGGACTACAGGCGCCCGCCACCTCGCCCGGCTAATTTTTTGTATTTTTTAGTAGAGACGGGGTTTCACCGTGTTAGCCAGGATGGTCTCGATCTCCTAACCTCGTGATCCGCCCGTCTCGGCCTCCCAAAGTGCTGGGATTACAGGCTTGAGCCACCGCGCCTGGCCCGTCAGCATCCCTTTTAAAGTCAATTTTCCCCTATCGAGCACTTTTAGTAACAACCTATTAGGCACATTAGTAAAAGTGCAAATCCTGGGCCCACAAGTCAGTCTCCTGACATACCCAGCTTCTTGCTCTGTTTTCTCCCCTCGTTTTGAAATAAAAGAATAAAAGGGCAACCTTCTCATGGAAAGGGTATAAATCTGTCTCTTTTACAAAACTTCATTTAGTTCATCATCTTCACTCATGTCCATGGCCATGTCTTCAGTTTTCTTCTCACAGGGATCCACTTCTGCTCAGATTTCCTTAAAACCCTGGGTCGTGTTCATCCTACTCTCCATCCCACTCAACATCTCCTCCTGGAGGCCCTGGGGCTGCCTGATGCTCATCTGTCAAGTGATGCCCCCAGCTGAGGAATAAGGAGACCCACGTCCTCAGGAGGGAGGGTCACGTGAGGTAATGAGCACCATCTGTGTCCCTGGAGAGGACACACGGAAGACGCTCAGTGAGTGTCGGGGGATGCGTAGTCCCTGACATGTGCCCTCATAACTTCGAGTATTTAAACTGATTTCTTCCCACTGATTTCTCTTTTGCTTCTCCATGGATTCCCAGTCAGGACTCACCCCCTCTGGCTCCAACACTCTCACCTGCTGGCTTCCCCAGGAGTCCAGAGCACTAACCAGGCTCCAGGCAAGAGGACAGAGTGAATGCCTTTTGTTTCATTCTCCTTTACCTGGTGACTTCTCCCTGCTGTCTAATAGGGCATTTGTTTCTCAGCATGTCTTCCCTCTCTCATTCGTCTTATTTTTCTAAATTTTTTTCCAATTTCAATGGACCAGATTATAATGTTAGCGATTATAATGCTAATTCAACATCTTCCACATCCCTATGTAATAATTTCTTCCAATAGATTTTTATATATAAATATATGCATTTATGTCATTTGTCATATGCATTATGCATATTTGGCATATGTTTTTAATAAAATGTAGATATATGCTATATACATATCTATATGATCATTTCATCAATATCCCATGTTTAGTGTATCCAATTCTTTTCTCTCATGTTCATTTAATGTTGATTTTTAGAATCTCCTCCCTCCCAAAACACAGCCTGTATCCAGTGTGACTTCCTTGCCTTTGCCTTATCTACCTGGAAGCTATTTGTGTTTATTAATCCTAAGTTTTTTGAATATGTTTGTCAGTTGGGATCACCTTTTCCTCCTGGCAATCTTGTCATTACTGGGTGATGCATGAAAAATCAACAATACAGAAAATACTAAAATGTCTTTCCTGGCTTCCCTTTACCCCTTGGACTTTCTTGTTCAAGGCCACTTTCCTTCTCTGATGATCCTCTGGGTGGAAGAGAAAGTCACAGTAAGATCATGGATGACAGTGAACATTGTTAGGTGTGGTTTCATTTTCAGAGCTGGGTTTAGAGCCTTCCCTTGGAATGAAGAACCCTCCCCAGCTGGAAGGTGATGCTCTTGAAGGCTCAGCTGACAACGCACATGGGCATCAAGTCATTGGCCACAGCTATGCCTCAAGTGTCCTAAAACTGAAGATGATCAAAAGAAAACTGCTGTTCAACAAGTGGAGACTGGCATGCAGATTCCCTGGCCTGCAAGCTTAGGGTACGAAGGTAATCACATCTATGGCTCTTAGCTGCGCTCACTCCTTATTTCTGTCTGTCTATGACGACAGCTTCTTCTCCCATTGCTTTTCTCTTCCCTATTTGTTCTCTCCAGCAGCTGCTGTCACCTCTGTCTGGTCTTACCTCTGTGTCCCATGGGCTGCCACCCTGCCAGGTCCTTCTGGTCCCCATCACCTGTTTGCTCTGTGAACTCTGCTCTGTTCCCACTGCTGCTGTCCTGAGAGTCCCTCTCACGGCCGCAGGAGAGCCCAGACTCCTTGTCCCCCTCCAAGAGCATGGTGTGAGCTGTTAACCACAGGGTTCTTTGCCTGGAATCACACAGCTTGAGTAATTTGCCTTTCCTTTCTGCATCCCAAACTCCATTGCCTCTTGTCACTGGGAACATTGCTTTAATACATCATTTACACACAGATTTTTCTCTTGGGACAGCTTTTGAGCAACCCAACTAAGTCAAACTTTAACCCTCCCCTTGTACATGGGAATGAGACATGTTAAAACTGAGCACTAAGAACCCCAAATCAAAAACTAAATTAGAACCTGGATCACAGATGAGAGTTCCCTGCTAGCCTGGAGTCAGCTGTGTCTTCAGCTCTAGATGGGCAACCTTATGTCAATGTGGATGAAGTTTCCATAGACTCAGTGTCTGCTCCTCGTGGACTCACTTAGCTGACATTAACTGGAGAACATTTATGACATTCCAAAGGGACCTCAGCCAACGGTAGATGCAGATGGCAGGGCAGGACTTCGAACCTGCATAGACCGTGAGGTACATTCTCACTTCTGTCCTTTTTATTCACATATCTACTTCTATAAGCTCAGTTAGAGTCTAAAACACAACTCAGGTGACTCTTGAGGACAGAGAAATAAGAGAGCATTTAATGAATTAACTTTGAGAAAAGTGAGTCCAGGGGCCAGCTTTTTTTTTTTTTTTTTTTTTTTTTTTTGAGACGGAGTCTGGCTCTGTCACCCAGGCTGGAGTGCAGTGGCCGGATCTCTGCTCACCGCAAGCTCCGCCTCCCGGGTTTACGCCATTCTCCTGCCTCAGCCTCCCGAGTAGCTGGGACTACAGGCGCCGCCACCTCGCCCGGCTAGTTTTTTGTACTTTTTAGTAGAGACGGGGTTTCACCGTATTAGCCAGGATGGTCTCGATCTCCTGACCTTGTGATCCGCCCGTCTCGGCCTCCCAAAGTGCTGGGATTACAGGCTTGAGCCACCGCGCCCGGCCCAGGGGCCAGCTTTATGTCTACACGAGATGATAGACAATAATCTATCTGCAGGACAGACTTTGCCTCAGACCAGCCCAAGTGAGAGATTTAACTGAAATTGTCAGAAGAAAGACTAAAATCCATAGAGCCACAGAGCCTGAAGGCAATCATGAGAGAAATGAGGATAGGAAAGAGCATGACGGGAAATCAGGTTGGTTCATTCATTGTCTCTAAATCTGCTACCATATAATAAGCACCTGGTGAGATTTCAATAAAGATGAATGCCTTGAACTGACATCTTGAGATTCTCACTTAAATGGTCTGGGGTGTGATTTGAGCATCAGTACCTTTAAAAAACTTCCATGATATTCTAATACACAACTGAAGATGATAGGGACCACTGGTTTACTCTGACCTCAGGTTTTCAACATGGAGATGACCACATGTGTGGCTACTCCACACAAATGCTGAATATCCATCAGACATTGATGGGATCTGTATTCACCTCTCAACAGTAGTATTTGTAGAACGTAGAAAAAAATTAAAAAGAAAAACAAGAAAATAGATGGATTAGACCTATAGTCTCTCTACTCAAAGCACACTTGCTTAATTTTGAATACAAGTAAAATAAGAAATAGTCATTATATTGAAACCCAGTATACAGAAAACAATACCTCGTATATTACACATATTCAAATTTAGTATTTTCTTTTCGATTTTATTTTATTGTGTTTTATTTTTAAGACAGAGTCTTACTCTGTCATCCAGGCTGGAGTGCAGTGGCACAGTCTCGGTTCACTGCAACCTCCATCTTGCGGCTTCAACAATTCTCATGCCTCAGCCTCCTGAGTAGCTGGGATTACAGGTGCATGCCATCACACTTGGCTAATTTTGTATTTTTTAGTAGAGGCACGGTTTCACCATGTTGGCAAGGCTGGTCTCGAACTTCTGGCCTCAAGTGATCCATTCACGTCGGCCTCCCAAAGAACTGGGATTTAGGCGTGAGCCATCATGCCCAGCTTTCTTTTCAATTTTAAAATAAATCCTGCAGTTTACATTTCCACACACTGATTCCACAGCCCATTAATGGGTTCAGCACTGCAATGTAAAAATTCTGCTTTGCTCAATTCTTGACATTCAGTCAAATCCTCAAAGATAACTCGTAGGTCTCACTCCACTACAGAGAATATAATAATAATTAAAAACTGAAACTCGGCCGGGTATAGTGGCTCATGCCTCTAATTCCAACACTTTGGGAGGCTGAGAAGGGTGGATCACCTGAGGTCAGGAGTTTGAGACCAGCCTGGCCAACATGGCGAAACCCTGTCTCTACTAAAAATACAAAAATGTGCTGGGTGTGATGGCACTTGCCTGTAATCCCAGCTACTCAGAAGGCTGAGGTAGGAAAATCACTTGAACTCGAAGGCAGAGGTTGCAGTGCCCTGTGATCGCTCCACTACACTCCAGCTTGGGTGACACAGCGAGACTCCATCTCAAAAAAAAAAAAAAAAAAAAAAAAAAAAGAAAAGAAAAGAAATAATAATAATAAAACTGAAACTCAGGAAGAGATGATACATGAATACTTTTTGCATGCTACCCTTGATGCTGGCATAAAATTCTAAAAAGAAATCTTTCCCAACAAACCACTTTGGGAAAAATATAACAGGGAGAGGAGAATGTAATAAAACACAAACTAATCCTTTTCGCTTTCTACTTCAGAGTTTTGTTGATCAGATATTGAGAATATTTCTAGAAATGCCTTAAGGTGTAACCAGGTGTGGAATCAGCTTCAGGGAATTAGGGATAATAAGTTGGGCCATGGTTACAATCTCCACCCTTCCTTTGTAATTCCATTTGACTCTTTCTTTTTCCTTTTTTTCTGATCCTTTTTGGAAGAACACATAATATTTCTTTTGTTTTTTTCTCATTTTTAAATTTTAACCAACAAAACAAGCAGCAGTGACATCATCTTTCTTTGTCAAAGCTCATTCCTATCCTAGCCAAGGTGACCCAGCAACCTCTAGTGACTGTTGAGAACTCCAGATTGGAGAATTTACTCTCCCTTCTCTCCAACTTACTGAAGGGGCCTTCGTGTGTGGGTTCCAGTTTCAGGGTTGTCAATAGCAAATCATGTGGCTTTAGTTAAGTCAGCCCCATGGCATCACTGCTCCTCTGTTGTAAAAGGCAGAACTGGACGTGGATGTGGTCTGAGGTCCTTCCTGTATCTCACATCCAGGGTTCTTCCCATGGCCCTGCCCACCCTTCCCTAAGAGACGGGGACATGGAGTTGTAAGGGGGTGGGTTTCTCTGCAAAAGGTCCTTTCCTTCTGCAGCCCTCTGTTTCTGAGCTTTCATGGTTGATGCTGAGAACATCCTCACTGAGAGCTCTCAGTGATAGCTTGTCACAGAGTGAAAAGCTATCACTCTGCTCCAGACATTGGGGATCAGGAGGAAAGGGGCTGCTGGTTGGGCAGAGCTAGGGTCCCTATATCCTTCACCTCAAGCTGACTGGAAGTTCAGGGGCATTTACTTTTCACTTGTGGATGGCACTTGCCATTCACCCAGCCTGAGGCTCACCCTTCAGCTCATCCTCCTAGCAGGAGCTCAGTTTGCCCTGGGCTATCAACACTTAACAGTCCCTCTAGACTCAGCCATCAGCAGGACCTGACAAAGATGCCCATTTGATCTTTCCTTCTCTTTCTCCTACAGATACTAAATGCTGCTGGAACAATGAAAAGGAGGTCACAAAAAGCATTTTCATTTGATGAAAAAAACTAAAAGAGTAAAGCAATCGAAAGCTCAACACAACACGGGAGGGATCCGTGGCTGAAGATTGTATTTCAGAACCACTGACTGCTCTTGACAATTGTTAACCCACTAGACTCCTTTGGTTAGAGAAGCCACAGTCCTTCAGCCTCCACTTGATATCAGTACTTAGTAAGACCAAAGCCAGATGGACAAACAGCATTGAGAGGCTTTAGCCCTACCCCTCTCAGCTTCCATCCTGTAGAGAACAGGAGTCAGGAGCCTCTGGCAGGACACAGCATGTCACACGGGACTCTGCCGGTGCAGAATATGAACAATGCCATGTTCTTGCTAAAAATGCTTAGCTTGAGTTTCATAGGAGGTAATCACCAGACAGACAACTGCAGAATGTAGAATACTGAGCAGGACAACTGTCCTTCACACAGTCCATGTCACCACGAATCACACAGTAAAAAGGAGAAAGATATTTCGGGTTCAAAAAAAGTAAAAAGATAATGTAGCTACATTTCTTTAGTTATTTTGAACCCAAAGTATCTCCTCATCTTGTTGTTGTTGTTATTGATGCTACGGACATGGACTTGTTTGTAGAGGACAGGTCAGCTGTCTGGCTCAATGTTCTACATTTTGAAGTTGTCCAGAATGTTCTCATGATTAAATTCAGCCTAAACGTTTTGCCAGGAGCACTGCAGAGTCACTACTGAGAGTTTCCTACCTCAGCCCATCTGCAGGCAGAGAAGGTCCAGTTTGTCCATCACCGTTATCATGATACTAGGACTGGTCACTTGGTTAAAGAGGAATCTAGGAGACCTGTCCCTTTTAGAGACACCTTATTTTTAATGAAGTAGTTGGGAAAGTGGTTTTTAAAAGTATAAATGTCCTGTATTCTAATGATCATCCTCTAAATATTTTATCATTCACTAATCATCCCTGCCCGTGTCAATTATTATATTCATATCTCTACACTGGAAATTTTCTATTTCAGTTTTTACTATATCCTTATTTTTGCTA